AATATGCATCTGTATATCCAAGAACAACCTTTTTTTTTTTTTTTTTTAAGAGATTTTTGCTATCAAAGCAGGGTGCTTGTTAGAGAAACAGAGAGAGACAGAGAAACAGAAAGCAAGAAACACCCCCACCTCCGAGGAGGATGGCCACACTGCAATCTATATCCTCCATTCCCGTCTCAGGATTTTGGGCACCCACACACATGAGCCTGGCGTGAGTTTCAAGCTGCCAGGTCTGAGGCTTAAACTGCAGTCAGACATGTGGGAGTCCAGTGCCTTAATCACTACACCACCTACTGGCCCCATTTCTTTTCTTTTTTTAATTACCAGAATACATGTGTGTGTGAGAGAGAGAAAGAGAGAGAGAAACCCCCAATGAGGCATTCTTTTTCCACCATCTCAGAATTTGGGGCACATAGCACACATGGCCAATGTGTTTTTCAGTCCAGTGCTAACATTCAGACCACAGTTGGCCATGTGGGAACCGGTTCCCCACGCAAAGTGACCAGCCCCAACCTCTTCCATTTTTAAAGGTTACTTTGTAGTTTTCCATTGTAGAAGTCAGTGAATAATTGCCCATTCATCCTATCCATATCTTCCAAGGTATTTTAGAAATATAATGGTATTACTTTTATCTTTTCAGACTGAAAAATTCCACATGTTTTCACAATGTCCTTTATAATTTTTGCCAGTGGTATGTGGAGTGAAGTCAAGTTGTCATTAGGGGAAGAGATGAGTTGGCTACTGAGAGACTGGTAAAGTGGCATATGCTTTAGTAAAACTGCTTCAGAATCTGGTCGTTAGTCTTGCAGGACTAGACTCCTGAAATTCATTGTTTCCAGTGCTCCAGATCCAATCAGATCTGAGAAAGCCGGTTCACCCTGGTACACACCCAAGTCTATCTACCAGACTTGCTAATTATTTTGTGTTAGAAATATAACTGTCAATCATACTAAGCATTTATGTAGCCTGCTTCAGGAATGTTCTCACTGTAATCAAACCAACATTGGGTCAAAATCTCCAAGGAGTCTCAGCTTGGAAGCCTGATTCGTCTGTCTCCCAGTAGCCACCGAACACTTGAATCAGCTAGTGGGTTGCTCTAGTGCTTGTTGGTGCTTTCCTAGCACAGCCAGCCCCTAGCTTTGAGATACTGCCATTTCTACTCTTCCATGGATCACCAGTGTCCACCTGAGACTAACAGATTCCCTCTCTAGGTAGGTCAATAGCTTTATACGGTAATCAAGGAATTTGAAGTCATTCTGTCTTTGTCAGGTAATTGGGCAGACCTACAGCTGGGGAGATCTCAGTTGATCCTTTAACTCTAAGGGCATGTTTATTCCCAAGTTCATTTGAAGGAGGGCCTCCCAGTTGTTCTATGTGTTTCTTCTTTGTCTGAAAATTCTTCATTCTTGGAGGTACAGTGTTAGACAGGTAATATAATGTACCAGAAACAGAAAAATCCCTGGAAACTGCCTGCCTATTTGAATCCTGGCTCCAACACTTGCGTGAACTTAATGAGATATTTAAATTCTCTAGGCCTCTGTTTGTTTGTTAAATGTCTATCATCACAGTCTTACAGGGCTATGAGAAACCCTGGGCATCCAGGATGTGCTGTATAGTTGAGCGACATTATTACTGGTCACTGGAGCTGCTTTTCTCTGGAAAGCCGTCTTGGATTTCTCATTTTTTGGTTATTTTTTGTGGGGGAGGTGTGCCAGAGGGTGTGTGCATGCACCAGAACGAGACAGAGAGGGAGAGGAAAATGTACCCACTATGTGGAATGGTCACACCACATCTCTCTCCTGTCAGGATTTTGGGCACCCATGCACATGTGCCTAGCATGTTTCTCAAGCTGTCGGGCCTAGGACTCAAACTGCTTAATATGTCACATGGGATTCGCTATGTTAACCACCAGGACACAAATCTGGCCCCTCTTTATTTATTTATTATTGTTATTATTATTATTTTTTCAAATTGCCAGAGGGTGCATGTGCTCACTGTAAAAAGAGAGAGGGAGCACCCACTTCTCAGTAGGGCATGGTCATATGGCGATCCTTTTTCCTCCATTTCTCCATTCTGGCAGGATTTGGGGCATGCACACACAGGCCCCCAGTGTGTTTTTCAAGACACTGGGGCCAGGACTTAACTACAGTCAGCCATGAGGGATCCGGCTCCCTTACACTGAGCTACGGGACCAGCCCCATTGTGGATCTCTTAATAAAGTCAACATGATTGCAGATGATGGTCCATGCACTTTGAACTATTAACTTCTTATGAAAGCAGGATATTTTCTTATATATATATATATACATATATAGTCTATTTGTTTTAATTTGACTATAGAGGGACAGAGAGAGAGAGAGAGAGAGAGAAAGTGAGAAAGCAAGCTGCCTGGTCCGGGACTCTCGAACTGCAGTCAGCTACATGGGAGTCAAGCGTCCTTAACCACCATGCCATCTGCTGGCCCCTAGATGCCAGCTCTTTTTCTTTTTCTTTCTTCTTTTTTTGGGGAGAGGTTTTTGCTATAGGGCATGTGCGCTCGCCAAAAAGCCAGAGAGAGACAGAGACACAGAAAGCGAGAAATCACCCCCCTGGGGGGATGGCCATGCCTCAGTCCCTTCTCCTCTATTCTCCTCTCGGGATCTAGGGCACACACGCACCCAGCGTGAGTTTAAGCCACCAGGTCTGGGACTCAAACCGCGGTCGACTACATGGGAGTCCAGCAACATAGCCATTATGCTAACTGCGGGGCCCGAAAGCAGGATATTTTCTTAGTCATAGTTCAACGTTTCAGAGTTTGGGGGATACATACCAGCACATTAAGCAGGTGTTTCAGAAAACAGTGAGCAATATTATAGATCACTTTCCTTAATTATAACTGAGTTCATCTTGTGATTCATGGGGTAGGTCTCAAAGGATTTATTTTCTTCCTAAATGCATTTTTATTACACATGCTGCTTTAGAGTTGTCCAGCCCCCCTCCCCCTTTCTTTCAGAGCCTCACAAAGTCTTCCTACAGCTCACTTCCATTGCTTGGTGTTTCAGAACCAAGTCAGTGCTCTGTGTAAATATGAACACTTTCTTTTGCTCTCCCTATAACAGTTTGTTTATAAAAAATGTATACAAGATGAGTTCCAGAACAATTTCTGAGAAAAGAGAGCATTTACCTTTATTATTTAACTTTGTTTCCTGGTCCTTCTGAAAACGTCTATCTAGTAGCAAAGGTCTAAACCTTTCTTTAAAAGAATATTAAAAAGGACCCTCCTTCAGTGTTTCAATTGAGGTAGACTAATTTTTTTATTTATCATGATTTATTTTCATAATACATAAACTATGAATTACATGAACTTTGTCTTGGAAGTTTGTTTTTAAATGTAAAACAGAAATGTTTGTTTTCATACTTCTTTAGGAATTAATTTCACCTGGTTACTTGCTATCTTTCACTTTTGTTGGATTCCAAATTGTAAAGCCTTATCTATTTAGAGTGTGCAGCACCAGTCGTGGGATGAACCTCAAAGAATTTTTCTTCTTCAACATCTTCAGGTTTTTTTAATGCACTTAAGCTTTTGTTTTTCTTCCCTTTGCCAGAGGGCTTGTGCGCTCATCAGAGAGATAGGAGAGAGAGAAGGAGAGAAGAAAGTACCCCTCACCTCAATCCCTTTTTCTCTACTTCTCTGCCCTGTCTGGATGTGGGGCACACACACACACATGTGTCTAGCATGGTTTTCACGTCACGGGGGCCAGGATTCCAACCACCGTCCACCATTTGAGATTCCTTAACCAATGTGCTATAAGGATGGCTCCTGTGTTTAAACTTTGTCTTTTTTTTTTTTTTTTTTAATGGAGCAGGTTCTACAACTTACATTTCATAATCTTTTGAAAATTTAGCTTTAAAATGTGGTCAGAAAACTTAATGTTTTTAGGTAGCTTCTTTGTACTATTGCCAAACAGGAACTTACTTAAGAAGATAAAAAATGAAATAGAGGTAGTAAAAATAAGAGGAAATTTTCTAACCTTTGAAACCCCATGCCTACACAGACAACAGATACCATGTTACAGTCTTCCTAGGGAAAATTGGGGAAGTCTCTTGCTTGAGAGATTTGAAAACAGAATGAGCCAATCGCTAGAATGGACAGGCTTACTCTGAAATTGCCCATCAGCCCTACGAATGCAGAAATAATTCTGGCATAACAAACTGTTACATTGTTCAAACCAATGTTACTCTCTTTGGGGTTGTTACCAAACCTAAGATACCAAAGTTCTAAATAATAATTATTAATTAATAATTAGAAGTCAGACACAGTGACAGGCTAACCAAGAGACTGAGGCAGAAGGGTCTCAAATTCGAAACCAGTCTGGACAACACAGCAAGACTTTATCTTTAAAAAAAAAAAGTGTAATCAAAAACTAATTGCATGGAGTTGGTGCAAACGTATCACCAGGTGTGACCTTTGTGGCAAGAACTGACTTCAGTGGACAGTGAGGACAAAGGGATCCGTCCAGTTCTTTTTTTTTTTTTTTTTTTTTGGAGAGGTTTTTGCTATAGGGCACGTGCGCTCGCCAGACAAACAGAAAGAGACATAGAGATAGAAAGCAAGAAATCACCCCCCCAGGGGGGATGGCCACGCCACAATCCCTTCTCCTCCATTCTCCTCTCGGGATTTTGGGCACGCACACACACGTGCCTGGCGTGAGTTTAAGCCACTGGGTCCGGGATGTGAACCGTGGACGACTACGTGGGAGTCCAGCAACACAACCATTACGCTAACTGCTGGTCCCAGGATCCGTCCAGTTCTAAGCACCTCTTCTCCAGTAATTTTTTCCATTGCTGTTCTGCTGCCCTTCCTATTTACCTTCTGTATCAGGGACATGATGCAATCTGCCTCACATCCTTTCCTGCCTTTTATTCTAGCTTCATGCAGGTGGGACTGAGGCGCCTCCCTCAGTCACAGGAAGAATCTCTTGCTGTCAGCATCTCCATCATAACCACTTAGCTCTGGTGCCATGCTAACCTGGAGTAGGGTTTCACACTTAATAGGACAAGTTTTGACCTGCGTGGATGAGAGTAAGCAGATACGCAATCATTCCCTCTTCCATCCCTGGATGGAGACTTGGGAGGTTCATTCCATCTACCTGTACAAAAGGTCCCAATGGGGTCAACCCTCAGTGTCCACAGTAGAGAATACCTTGGGCCCAGTCATGGTGGTGCTGGAAGCAAGGTGCCACAGGTGTGGTAACTGAAGTCACATGAGAGGCCAGGACTCCTGGTTCTCAGTCCATTTTAAAGAGGCTGGGCACAGGGGGCCGGCAGGTGGCTTGGTGGTTAAGGATGCTGGGCTCCCATGTGGCTGACCGTGGTTCAAGTCCTGGACTGTTGGCTTGCTTTCTTTCTCTTTCTCTCCTTCTCTCTCTTTCATTCTGTCCCTCTCTGGTCAAATTAAAATAAATAAAATAAATAAAGTTAAATAAAATAATTCTTTAAAAAAAAAAAGAGGCTGAGCACAGTGATGCATACCTGTGGTCCTACCTACCTAGAAGACTGGGGCAGGAGGATCGCAACACAAGGAGACCTTGTCAAGAATACCTCTCTCTGGGGCCAGTGGGTGGTGTAATGATAAAGGCGCTGGACCCTCACGTGGGTGACCACAGTTTGAATCTTGGACCCAGTGGCTTGAAACTCACACCAGGTGTGTGTGCATGTGTGCCCGAGATCCTGAGAGGAGAGTGGAGGAGAAGGGACTGTGCCATAGCCGTCCCCCAAGGGGTGATTTTTCACTTTCTCTCTCTCTCTCTCTCCAGTGAGTGCATTCTCTACAGCAAAAATCTCTAAAAAAACTTACCTATCTCAGTCTTTCTCCCTCTCTCTTCCTTCTCCTCCTCCTGCAGGAGAGCTCTTTCTTGTGTTCACTTAAAAAAGTAAAGAGGGGGACCAGCAGTTAGCATAATGGTTATGTCGCTGGACTCCCACATAGTCGACCGCGGTTCGAGTCCCGGACCCGGTGGCTTAAACTTATGCCGGGCATGTGTGCGTGCGTGCCCAAGATCCCGAGAGGAGAACAGAGGAGAAGGGATTGCAGTGTGGCTATCCCCTCTGGGGGGTGATTTCTCGCTTTCTGTCTCTCTCTGTCTGGCGAGCGCACGCGCCCTATAGCAAAAACCTCTCTGAAAGAAAGAAAGAAAGAAAGAAAGAAAGAAAGAAAGAAAGAAAGAAAGAAAGAAAGAAAGAAAGCAGAATGCACCTTTGAATTGGTCATTTCTGTTTCCTTCTTTTACTCCCAGGTCTTCCATTTCTGTTCCCTGGTAGCACTTGCCAAAATAGTTCTTAAAGCTGGAGTTTCAGGCTCGGGTCTCTGGATACCACCAAGACTAAAACATCTATTTGTTGCCTAGGCATTGTTTCATTCACTTAGCAGTTATTTTATGAGTGACTCTGATAAAGAGTCACAGCAAACCTGGAAACCAGATGTTAAATTCCTGAGATCCCTTTTATTTTATTTGTTTGTTTATAATTTGTCAGAGGGGAGAGAGAGAGAAAGCAACCCTCGTGCGGAACACTCACACTGCAATCCCTTCTCCTCTGTCTGTCCTCCCTTTAGGATTTTAGTCATGCAGGCACATGTGTCCTGTGTGTTTTTCAAGCCTCCAGATCTGGACACAAGCCATGTGGTCAGCTATGTGGGATGCAGCTACCTTAACCACTGCCACTGGATGGCCCCTGAGCTCTTTTTTTTTTTAAAGGGAGACTTTGGCTACAGGTCATGTACACCCGCCAGAGAGACAGAAAGTAAGAAATCACTTCCCAGCTGGAATGTCCACGCCACAATCCCTTCTCCTCCATTCTCCTCTCGGGATCCTGGGCATGCATGCACACGTGTCTGGCATAAGTTTTAAGCCACCAGGTCTGGGACTTGAACCATGGTTGACTATGTGGGAGTCCAGCGATATAACCATTATGCCATCTGCTGGTCCCACACCCTCTCACCTCCAGCCCTTTTAAAGGGCCATGTGAGCTAGCCCATGACTTGGAGGTTGAGGCAGCTGGATCCCACATGGCCAACTGCATAGTTCGAGTCCTCTACCCATCAGCTGGAAAAACACAGTGGATATGTGTGCACAAGTGCCTAAAATCCCAAAATGAGGGAGAGGAGAGGAGAAGGCCTTGTAGTGTGACCACTCCTCATGGGGATACTTTCTCACTTTCCCTCTCTCTTTCTTGTAAGCACACTCACACTGGCAAATTTTTAAAAGGGCAATACCAAAGTACATAGATTTACTGAAGGACCAGCTCGATGGAAGAAAAGAAACACTTCAAGGATCCTAATCAGTGAACTATTAGCTAAAGCCAATCTGAATAGATGAAGTGTTTTGTTTTGTTTTGTTTTGTTTTTTAACTAGAGGTGTATTAATTTTATTGGAATTTTTTGTTTAGAATGTTATTATTTATTCATTTATTTTTACATTTTCCCAACAACATTTACTTTGCATATCAAAAAATTTTTGCTCATACCCCATAGTTCTTGACAGTTAATAAATAACTTTCAAAATTAAAAAAACTGAATTTTAAAGATAATGTTCAAAATATTTATTATAACTTTGTTTGTGACTCTATAACAACAAAGACAGTACGGTTTTAAATATTTTTGAGAAAATATTTACATGTCAACTACTCAATCTTTGAAAAGAAAATGCCCAGCTCACGAGTCACACATAAACCTCAATTTAGCCCTGCCTACCAAGTATTCTGTGATATACCATCTGCTAGCAAAGATCAGTCTCTTTTTCTTCCTTCAAAGTCTTCCTCAAGATAATCCTCTGGTTGTGACTGCTCTTTTGCAATCTTGACTGATTACAATGCTGGGCTGGAAAAGTCCAGGTTATTTTATGGTACAAATTCTTTCATACAGCTTCTCTAATCCTCTCTGCCAGGCAAGAACTATGATGCCAGGCGCCATCTTTCTAAGAGCTTCTGTTGGCTTACTTGAGATCTACCTTAGTTCCATAGTTTTCTGATTAATCTTCAGATACGGCATTCTAGTCAAAGCCCTGTCCAATAATGAGTATTTCCAATTTCGGATTCAAGGCAACAGATATTATTGAACTTGTGCCTTTATTAGTTTCTTCACCTTCTGGCATACCAATTATATGGATGTCTGGGCACTTAATGGTGTCTCGTATTTCTTGTATAGAATTCTCTCTCTCTCTCTCTCTCTCTTTTTTGGTTATTTTCTCAGTCTTTTCAGTTGTTTTTTCTAGATTAGAGATTTTGCCTTCAACATCTGAGATTCGATCTTCTGCATGTACTAATCTGCTTTTAATACTTTCAAAGGAGGTTTTGATTTCCTGCATTGCAGCCTTTATCTCTAATAGCTCCATGTGGTTCTTTCTTACAGTGTGTATTTCCTATTTTGGATTGCGCAAGAACTTCCTTGCCTCCTGGAACTCGTCTCTTTTCTCCTGCATCTTCTAGAATTCACTGTCTCTCAGCTCTTGCATCTCATTTAGTTTTGTCACTATGAATATTCTGAATTCTCTATCAGTCATTTCCACAAGTTCTACTGTACTGTCTGTGGATGATGAAGGATTGTTCTTTTTCCTTAGGGGAGAGATATTTTTTTGGTTTCTCTTATTTCTTGTGCTTCTGTGGTGGTTTCTTGTCATTCTGTGACAAAATCTCTTTTCTGAGTATTTCAGGAGTCCTAAAGATAAGATGTAGTTTAGAGCATCACTTCCCTAAACATGCCATGACATGCCTCAGATTTAAAATGGCTTTTTGTCTGAGTATTTTGGGATTCTAGAAGGTGGAGTTTAGAGCATAGCTTCCGCAATAGATGAAGTTTGAAGTATAATTTTCTTCTATTTTCTCTCACATATTTGGCCTGTGCAGTCTCTCTCTCTCTTTCTCTCTTTTTTTTTTTCTCTCTCTAACTTATTCTATATAGTAAGCAAGCATTGTATTATTAAGGGTTGAAAACCACTTACTCTTTAATAAATGAGGTCCTAGGAAAATTAGGTTCCAAATATGAGCATGATGTAAGCCACTTATGACTCTTTCACAAAGTCTTCCTTTCTAAGCCAGGATTAGGAATTTTTTTTTTTCAATCGAAAACAACAAAAATATATTAAAGAACACAGTAAATAAAAGAAATTTATTTTGGATGTTTGGGGTTTTATGTAGAGAGACATGTAAAAATAACAGGGTTTTTTCTATCTTTATGTATAGAAAATAATGTTCCATTTTTATAAAGTAACATTCCCCTGCATTCAACAAATATCTATCAAATATATTTATTTTGAGGACATTACTGTTAAAAAATGTTTAAATCTGGGGCCAGCCCTGAAGCTTAGTGGTTAAGTGCCGTGCATTGTAAGAAAAAATCCACTTGACCAGCCCTGGTTAGAATCTTGGCCCTTGGAGCTTGAAAAACATGCCAGGTGTGTGCGTGTGCATGCCCCAAATCCTGAAAGGGTAGAAATGGAGCAGAAGGGATTTTGGTGTGATCACACCCCACTGGGGGGTGTTTTCTCTCTCTCCTTCTCCCTCTCTCTCTTTCTCTCTGCTAAGTGTGTACCCTCTGGTAATTAAAGAAAATAAAAAGATGTTTACATCTGATTTCTCATTTTTCCAGCTCTAAACATTAACACATGCACTTGCCCCTTGGCCTGGGTAGACTTAAGCTGAGTCTGAATTATCTTAAAGGACTCTTACCTAAGCTCATAATTATTTAAATTATTTTAAACTAACTTCTATGAATAATTGTTCTAATAAGCCTCATTTTATTTAAAGAACTCACACAATTAAGCTAGATTCATAAAACAAACAAACAAACAAACAAAACCACCATAATTTCATCAGGTGACGTGATCCCAGGATACAGAGTGGTAAACAGAAACAGTCCTTGTGTGCACAGAGCTTGTATAAAACCAAGTTAGGGTTACATTTATGTCATGTTTTTCTACCTTTTCACTATTATGCTTTTGACATTATCCACCTCCCAAAATGGAGATGTTTTTATTCTTTCATTTTGCATGCACTCACCAGAGACTGACAGAGAGGGAGGGAGAGGAAGAAAGTACCCTCTAATGGGGGATAGTCACAGCCAAATCCCTTCTCCATCTCTCCGTCCTGACAAGACTTGAGGCATACACACACATGGGTGTGGCATGTTTTTCAAATGCCCGGGCCAGGATCCGAACTACATGGTCAGCCATGTGGGATCCAACTCTCTTACTACTAGACCATGGGACTGGCCCTGGAAATGTTTTTTGTTTTTTTTTTTTTTTAAATAAAAAGAAAGTATAATAGCTTAAGCTAATACAGGATTTAAGAAAATCATGATATTAAATGGATACAGAGAAAAAACAGAAAAAAAGTGAAAATAGGAAAAACACATCAAGGAGTAGAGGACCATTCGTTAGGGGGTGAAGTAAAAACTCAGATATTCTGGACTGGAATGTAGCATGGTGGTTGAGTTGCTGGACTCTCACATGGCTGACTATGATTTGAGTCCCAGACCCAGTGGCTTTGTTTCTTGCTTTCTCTCTCTCTCTCTCTCTCTGTGTGTGTGTGTGTGTCTCTATCTGGTCAAATTAAAAATAAATAACAGTGATATATAAAATAAAATAAAATAAATAAAAACAAACTCAGATATTGGCTTCATTCTCAAAGTACATGCTAAACAGGTAGCTGTAAATCTTTATCACTGAATTCTCTAGAGGACTAGGTAAAAGAATTTTATTTGTGTTATGCCTGAGATAAACTAGTGTCAAATGAGTACATATTTGCGGAAGTTTATTTTTATGGTCAGGAAAAGAGGTACAAGCAACCATGAATACTTGGACCTTGGCTGTCTAAGCAAGCCAAGATTTACAGCCAAAAGAGGTTGCTGGAATGGAGGGGAGGAAAAGGGAGGCCTAAGGTGCTGTAGATGAGAAATGCCAAGGTTCTGGAGAACACAAAACTAAAATCACACTTTGTGGATAGAACGGAAAGAGAAGAGACAACCAGGATTGCCCACCTTCCTCTTTTCATTTAAAGTTCCTGTTTATGACCCCTCCCCTTACCACAGCTCTTTCAGGCTACTTATGCAGCGAGCTATGCTTCCTCATTTCTCTGTAAGGCTCACTGGAGGTGAGGGGGGTGAGAATATGTGAGAAAACCTCAGCAAGAGCTCAATCATGGCATTTGTCATTCAAAATAAGTTCTGAAAGCATGCTTTCTGAAACTGCCAGATGGCACATGTGCTCACCAGAGAGACAGAAAGATGGTGGGTATGGGAGAGGGGAACAACACCTTGCAATGGGGAATGGTCATGCTGCAGTCCCTTCTCCATTTTTCCCTCCTTTCAGAATTTTGGACATGCATGTACATGGTGTTTTTAAAGCTGCCAAGGCTAGGAATTGAACCGAGATCATCCATGTGAGATCCGACTCCCTTAACCATTTGGCTATAGGCCAACCCATGGAAATATATTTAATGTAGTTGAGAGGAGGAGAAGGGAGGTTTTTACTAATGCCCTACAATGACCAATTGCAACCAGTTGGCTTCATCAATAATTAGACAATTATCTGTCACTGGGAGTTTATTGACAAAGTATTCTGCACCTACCTATGTTTATTCCTGTTATCACTTCCACTTAGCCATTGTTAAAGAAACCGTGCCATTGTGGTCATGACCTTACTCAGAAGAAAATTGACTTACTTCTACATAGGCCCATAATAATCAGAATATGCTTCTAAGCCTGACTGAGTCCAGCCTACTGCCCAGGCCCCCAGGCCAAGGTAGCAGATATTCAGTATTAAGTTCAAATTTTGTTGGTGCTTATTGGATAGGCAGTCTTTGCATAAAAAAAAAAAAAATTGATTCAATTTTAAATCTTGCCAACAGATAACCCTATGCAAATATTTAATCTGAGCTTTGTAGCCTCTTAACCACTAAAATCTCAATCTGTCTAAAACTGAACTCATTTTCTCTCCCAGACCTAGTCCTATTTGCTTCCTCTCTCAGTGAATGATCACTTCCTTCCTTCTATACCAACTTCTGGGGAAGCGATCTCGGGTGTCAAGAAGTTTGTCGCGTGGGAGCACGGGCAGGCATGTCGGTTACAGGCCAGTGAGATAAGGTGTAAAAGATGTACACACCAGGTACAAGGAGCTTGCGGAGAAAGCCAGCCCTTCTAGAAGGGATCCTGTTCCCTGAGTCTTAAATAGCAATTTCGAATTGGTAGATGGTTAAGACAGAAAAATCTCAGACAGAAGATAGCATATAAGCAGTCAGAGCATATGCAAACCCAGCTCGTGGCAGGGTGGAGAGGTGTGTCTCCTGGTTTCAGGATCACAAAGTGCCTGGGGTGTGGGTAATGAAACTGGATAGGCAAGAGAAAAGCCAGTTCATGGAGGCCAGGAGTTTAAGCTGAAGAATTTTGTTTGTAGGAAATAGAAGCCATTGAAGACTTTCAGCTGGCAAGTTTGTAAACAGCTTGCATTTTAGAAAGGTGACTGTGGCAGAGTATAAAGAATGAATTAAAGGAACTCGTCAGCTTCTTTCTCCAGGAGACTGTATTCTACATCCTCTGTAGTTAAGGCTAGTTGTGATACTTAAAATAGCAAAAATATGGAGATAAAGAGGTAGAGGCTGATAGGAAAGATATAATTAAATATGAGTTATGAGTAACAGAAAGGAGGCTAGAGGGACTCAAGTTTTAGGTTGAAAGATTACAGAGAGGCCCAGGCAGCTGGATCTTACATGGCCGACTGTGTGGTTCGAGTCCCAAACACAGGGGCTTAAGAAACACACCAGGTGCATGTGCATGCATGTCTAAAATCCCAGAAGGAGAAATGAAGAAGGGATTGCGGGATGATCATCCGCCCTACAGAGTGCTTTCTGTCTTTCACTCTCTCTCTCTCTCTCTGGTGAGTGTGCACACTCTCTAGCAATTTTTTTCAAAGTTACAAAGGGGAATTTATTTCAAAAGCATAAGGGAGCATTTGCATTTAAACAAAATGATAAATAGGTGTCTTGCAAAATGAAAAAAAAATCAATGGCATAAAGTTTTTCATTCAAATTGAATAAAGCAAAAAGCAATTTTTTTTAATTTACAAAAATATATTAAGTGACAAGCAGGTGGCATAGTGGTTAAGGCATTGGACTGCCACGGTTCGAGTCCCAGACCCAGCGGCTTGAAACTCACAATGGGTGTATGCGCGTGCATGCCCAACATCCCAAGGAGAGAATGGAAGAGAAGGGATTACAGTGTGACCATCCCTCCTGGGGTCTGATTTTTTACTTTCTGTCTCTCTGTCTCTGTCTCTCTGGTGACTGCATGTACCCTATAGCAAAAATTTCTCTCAAAAAAATGTGCATCTGTGTGTGTGTATATATATAAAGAGAGAGAAGGCAGGGGCCAGTCTTGTATCCTAGTGTTGAAAACATTCCATATGGCCAACTGTAATTCAAATCTGGTCTGGTGGTTTAGAAAACTCACCAGGCATGCATGTATGAATGTCCAGGATGGTAAAATGGAGAAGGGGCTGTGGTATCACCACCATTGGGAGCTGCTTTCTCCCTCTCAGTCTCTCTCTCTGGTAAGCACATGCACCCTGTGGCAATTAAAAAGTACCCCCCCCCAAAAGGTATATCAGGGGCCAGTAGGGGGTATGGTGGTTAAGGTGCTGGACTCTCACGTGGCCAACTGTAGTACAAGTCTCCGACCCAGTGGCTTGAAAATCATGCTGGGTATTGTGTGTGTGTGAGAGAGAGCTGCCCAAAATCCCAAGAAGAGAAGAGATTGTGGAAGAGAAGAGATTGTGGTGCGGCCATTCACCCTGGGGGGATGATTTCTCACTTTCCCTGACTCTCTCTCTCTCTCCAGTGAGTACATGCTCCCTATGGCACAAAAATGAAAAAAGTATTGAGCATGAGCTCCAGTTTCAGCCTTCCCCAAATCCCACTTCTAAGGATGCAGTCCTTAGGCCCACCTAACAATACTTGTATCTTTCACCTGGTTCTTTGTGCTCTTGCTCATCCCCTTAGCTGGAGGCTCTGGTACCTGCAACAAGGACATTATAGTGATAGATTTCCTAATTCTAACAGAATAGAAATCTTAAAAAGCAAATGTGTTGGAATTGTTGGTTACACAGGAAAAAAATGCATCAGTGACTTAGTCGAAAGGCATCTATCATTATTCACTTTTTTCCAGAAATCTACTATGCGACCGCATACTGGATGCCTGCTGAAAAGAAGGTGCAAGTCAAAAACGTAATGGACAAGAATGGGGATGCCTATGGCTTTTACAATAACTCCATGAATACCACAGGCTGGGGCATCCTGGAGATCAGAGCTGGGTATGGTTCTCAGGCTCTGAGCAATGAGATCATCATGTTTGTGGCTGGCTTTCTGGAGGGCTACCTCACTGCCCCGTAAGTATCCCAGTGGACTGTGAAACAACCTCTGTCCTTTTCTTTATCCAACAACGACTGGCTTCCTGACCTTGCACCTTAGAACTGAAAAGTAGCCGAGGTCCTTTGCATGTGTTAGAGAGATTGTCAGAATTACATTTGATCAACACCTTCCTAGAAGGTACAAAGCGTGGCCTTCTTAAATTATCATGACACTTACATTTGAAAAATCTTTGCTACTCATTATCTATTTCTAAGAGACAGTCAAGCTCTTTTATCAAAGTGTTCTGATAGAAAGCAAATGAGAGGTGGAATGATAAAGCAGGGAAGAATAATTACAAATAAAATGTAAGAGCTTTTCTTTTTAATCATCCTGAAACAATACTCCCATGTGGCCCAAAATATTTTAAACTGAAATTTTACTGAGTCTAAGATAATCTTCCCTCCAGTTCTGTTGTAACTTAATTCTGGTGTCCTTGTCTTGTCTTATACAAATAACGAGGATGTAGCTAATAATAATGCAATCAGAGGTATGCTCTTTAAGGAAAATAGAATTGAACTCATTTAATCAAGCATCATCTGTCTTCTGATATAAAAGCATCGTGATGGGCCCAGGCACAGACACAGCAGCATGCACTGGCAGACACTGCTAGTTGGCAGCTGAGGCCACATGGGAGGCCCAGTTGCGATTCCCAGCCCATCCTAAAAGCAAGGTGCAGTGGTGTACACCTGTAATCCTACCTATGCCAGAGACTGAGGCAGGGCTCACAAGTCTGAGGCCAACATAGGGAACAGAGACTCTGAGAGAGCTGAGAGTGGTTGATGGCTTGCATTTGTAGCCTGCACTTGTAGTCTAAGCTATTTGGGAGCTTGAGGCAGAAGGATCATCATAAGCAAGACCCTGTCTTTAAAACAAACAAACAAACAAATGAAAGAAAAGCCTGTCTTGGTGAATGAGCTTTCTTCTTTGTTCTCTGTGACCTAGATTCTTACCACTGAGTAGGTTTTTTTTGTTTGTTTGGTTGGTTTTCTTGAGAGGTGTTTTTTTTTTTTTTTTTTTTTTTTGCTATAGGGCTCATGCGCCAGAAAGACAGAGAGACAGACGGCGAGAAATCACCCCCCAGGGGGGATGGCCACGCCGCAATCCCTTCTCCTCCATTCTCCTCTCGGGATTTTGGGCACGCACACACATGTGCCCGGCGTGAGTTTAAGCCACTGGGTTTGGGACGCGAACCACAGTCGACCACATGGGAATCCAGCGACATAGCCATTACACTAACTATTGGTCCCACCACTGAGTAGTTTAACAAAATTGTTTTGAGCTGATATTGCCTTAGTTATGGTAAGTGAGGTGCCAATCTTAACCTGAGTACTGTGGATTATATCAGATTTTTGACTGACTAGTTACTGAGCTTAGACTGCTTTTTAAAAATTAAACTACAGGAGCTGGCAGGTGGCATGGTGGTTAAGGGCACTGGACTCCCACATGGCCAACAGTAGTTTGAGTCCCAAACCTGGCGGCTTGCTTTCTCACTTTCTCTCTCTCTCTTGCTCTCACTCTGTTCCTCTCTGGTCAAATTAAAGTAAATAAGTAAATGGATAAAGTTAAATAAAATAACTCATTAAAAAATTAAACTACAAATTTCTCTTTTTGTTTTTTACTTAATTTTTGTTACTCTACCATATAAGACCCTGCAATGTCACACTATTTAGAGATGTAGAAAACTTTATAAATGGAATCAGATTTTGTTATTCATGTAAAAATCTGAACTTCGCATCCTCCCTTTCAAATCCTTATCCACTTTTGTACCCAGTGAGTTCTGACTGTGTTGTTTAAATTGAGCTGCAAGTGTGAAGAAATAATTTGGACCAAGGTTGTGTGAGCATAGATTAATTTATGAATGATGTATGTTATAAGTTATTAAGGAAACTGACTTGGAGGGGGCAGCTCTAATACATGAAAATATTCTCAGGATAATCATGTCTTCCTTCCATATTTTTGTTGGTATCTGTGGTAGAGAAAGCTTATAGCCTTCGAAAGGGTTTCTGACAAAGGTGACATTTCTGATATTATATCTCAGAAAAAATAAGTTTTAATATTTTTTTTGAGAGGTTTTTGCTATAGGGCGTGTGCTCTCACCAGAAAGACAGAGAGAGACAGAGAGACAGAAAGTGAGAAATCACCCCCCGGGGGGGTGGCCACGCCACAATCCCTTCTCCTGCATTCTCCTCTCAGGATCCT